CTGAATGGTACATCTGCTATGGAGTCGGCTGTGCTAAGGTCTGTGGATCTGTTCGCCACTGGTCTTAGTGAATGAGTCAAATCATAAATGCATCCTGTTTTAGTTTAAGATGCAGGGCTTGGCTCTTAATCCAATCAGAATGAGAACTGAAGGCCCAGCCAGTGCTGATAGTAGAGTAGTTAGCCAGGGCAGTGAGAGAACACAGACTGCTACCATATATTATTCCAACCGTGGCAAGATTATTTTAAAATTACTGATTGATAGAAGCAAGTTTTCGCCCAAAATCATACATAGTTTCCTTTATCTCATGAGAAACCTAAGTCTCTCTAATGTTGTGAGGGAATCTAACAATTGTTGCAATACCTCCAGGTCCTGACCAACCTGTATACTTAGTTTGGAAAGCATCAGAAGAACATTTATTCAGAACATTTTTCCTGCTCAACTGTAGGTACACAGGTCGTTCCCCATTTTGCCCAAGGCGCTATGCAGGGCCGTTCTGCTTCCTGGTTCCACTGCACCAGCTTGAGGGTGTAGCATAGAGAGAACTCGCCCTCTCCTGTTATGATAATTTCACCTACAGCCCAAGGGTATAGCTTAGAGAGAGCTCTCCCTCTGCTGTTATGGTAATTCCACCTGCAAGCAAGGTTCTCGCTGCAGACAAGGTTCCCGGGTCAGAGAAAGAAAGGTTCCTCTTTTCTCTGTTCAGTTGCTCTCCGACCTTGGGTGCGGCCCCCTGATTTTTCTCTTTCCTTGTTCCTGATGGGGGGCTGGTGTCTTTCTGCCCCACAGTATATATACCCGACTTATGCTTAATAAAGCGGCCATTTGCCACTTGCTCCTTGGTAGATGAGCCCGGTCTCTTGTGTGTGTCTATCTGTTTTAACCCTTTAGGATATTAATCCGTTCTCGTGGGCTTGAGTTAGGAAAGCGCGCGCCTGTTTTGAGGTTCGGGTGTTCACAGAAAAGTGTGGAGGCTACACTCAACAAGTATTTTTAGGGGCTTAGTAATATTAGTCTTATACAGATTAGTTAAGCCATAGGACAGAACACCAGGTATCAGAATAAGGAGAAATGGTTATGATATGCCCTCTATTGTTGATTTGGGCTGCCCCAGTCACAATGAATTTTGTTAGCCAATGGGTTGACAATCTGGTGGGTTCCTATCCCTATGTAGGCCAGGGGTTGGGTATCTACCCTTTCCTGTGTCATAGAGACTGATTCCCAGGGTTCAAGCATTTGTGTATTTGGCCTACCATGTCTCTGATATCCAAGCTAATGATTTCTATATGTTCCATGAATATATGGAATTATGAAGGCAATCAGTGAAAAATAGAGCCAGTGGTTTCACTACCTCCTTAAGTATTTTCAAAAAAATTGACTCAATTGATGTGTAATTGTCAAAAAACAATAGCTATTTAAAATACAATGAGAACTGCAGGTCTAACTCTGTTGGTAGAGTGCTCGCTGCCTCCTGAGTAACTCCATTACAGGCCTGATCCCCAGGGCTGGTAGGAGGCAGGCTGAGCAAGTCAAGAAGAGCAAGCCATGAAGAGCATCCAGTAAGCAGCACTCCTCCATGGCTTCAGCACCAGGTACTATGTGCAGGTTCCTACTTGAGTTCCTGCATTACTTCCCTGAATGACAGACTACAAACCTTAGGATGAAATGAGCCCTTTCTTCCCCAACTTGCTTTTGGTCATGCAGTTTTTTTTTTTTTAAAACGGAAACTCTAAGAGACATGCCTTGATATTCACAAACTATGCAGGACATACAGTAAGTTATAATAATGCCAATGTCATGAGGGAAAAACCTTCTTTAAAGTTCAAAGATAAAGCAGTGTAGCGATGTCTTCTAGACTGGTGTTAAAACGATGCTGCAGAGCATCCACCTTGTGCTAAATGATACCCAGAATCCAGTCTCAGGGGTCTGAGTTCAGTGTCCTAGGCCCTTTAATTCAACAGTTGATTTTTTTAATGAGGGGAGCTTGATGCTATGTATACCCCAAATTATATCTCCAAACAACACAGGAATATTCATAGGAAAGTAGTGAATTTGAACGTAGTCTTCAGTTTAATGAACAGCAGTGCCCCAATGTTAATGTCAGGTTTTTTCAAAGGACATTGGAAAAATAGGGGGAAGGGGCACAAAAGAACTATCTACACTATCTTTCTAAATTTCTGTACCCATGAAGTTATTTGAAAATTAAACCTATTAGATTAAATATAGTAGGATACTATTGTAACTCCAGCAGGTCAGGAAGCAGAGTCAGAAGAATATGGATTTCAAGAAAGTTTGTCCGAACGACATAAAAATCTGTCTTAATAAAGAAAGAAAGAAGAAATTGGCTAAAAAGTGGGTGAGGAACTTGAATCCATGCCCACAAACACTAGAAGACAAACTGAGCTGTACCACTGCTCCGATGCCGAACAGATGGGTGCATTGTGTCATTTCCAAAGCCACACCTGGGGATAGAAAGCCTTTCGTAGAGAGGGGCATGACTACCTCATCTGTGTCAGTCAGAACCCACTTCCTAACCAAGAGTGGTGCTCACAATGTATCTTGTTTAAAGTAATTCAATAAACTGTACTTGAAATTTTTTCTTATTTAAATGAATATTATATGTAACATATTTTGATCATATTCTTTCCCTTTCCCTAGCTCCTCCCAGATCTTTTCCACCTTCCTACCCACCTAACTCCATGATAGCTCTCCATCATCTATTAATCGATCTATCTATCTGCCTACCTACCTACTTACCTAACTAACTACCTATTTCCCCCAGCCTCAAAAGATAAAGAAAAGCAAAGTTAAACATATAAACTAAAGAAAAAGAAAATTAGTAAGACAATAAATAAAACCCAAACTGCACAAAACTGATGAGACATCTACTTCACATTGGTCAACTTTCCCTGGGCACAGGTCCTGCTCTGGAGTGTAGTTGATAGTCCAGGGACACTGTATTGGAGAAAACTGATTTTCATTTTATGAGAAGATTCCAATTACACATAAATTCTGGGATGGAGTGGAATTTTTTGTTTAATCCCCCTTTTTAGTTCTGGAATTCTGTCTGGCTTGAGCTGTGTGGGTCTTTTGTGTGCTGCCACAATCTGTGAGTTATTTATGTCTTAGTCCTGTTGTTTCTGAGAGATGCAGTTTCCTAGGTGTCGTCCACCACCTCCTAGTCTTAAAAATTTTTACCTCCTCTTCTGCATAGACCTGTGAGTCTCAGTAGGAGGGGTTTGGTGAAGTCATCCAATGCAGAGCTGTGTGCTTCAAACTCTCTCAATCTCTACGCACTGGCCAGTTGTGGACCTCTTTGTAAATTACTATATACTGCAAGAAGAAACTTCACTATTGATGGTTGAGCAATGTTTTGGTCTATAGATATGGCAATATGTCATTAGAAATAACTGTATATGATGCTTCTTTAGACAAATAATAAGTAAGTTTTCCCATAAGCCAGGAATAATCTAGTCTTACATTCTTGGCCACTTTAGCAGTGTCAGATATAGGCTCAGTCTTATTTAGTGGACCTTAAACCTATTTTTAAGATGGTCGGTTACAACCATAACATCTGTACCATTATTGTGTCAGTATATCTCACAGGCATGATAGAGGTGGAGGTCACAGAGTTTGTAGCTGCATGATACTGATGACCCTTCTCTAGCAGTGTGCAAAGTGCCTTCAAGAACCACAAATGCTAGCAGTAGGGGTGAAGATTCTAATTGGGTACCTGTTTTATTCCTCTATGTTCAATGACATAGGTGAGTGGGGTCTTTAGCAACAGGGTCCTATCACCATCTTATAGATAGCACCTAACAGTCTTTAAAGTAATCGGTGATGTTTGAGAGGTCTATAGAAACTCCTTTGACAATGACTCAACATGATGCAGTCCATTCCCAGCACTCAAGGTGACTTGTTATTTGGTGACATAAAATATCTTGTTGAGGCATTGTCTCTTCCATTATATTGTGACTCCACTTAAATTATTTTCATATGTATGTATATTTTAGGGTTCTTCTATGGTAGTAAATTTGCATATGGTATTTCACATGGCCTTAAGTGTTTGATGTCCCTGCCCTTATTCCACCCCCTTACTCTGCCTCCCCCATACCCATCCACATTAAATTCTCCTATTTTAATTTTCCAGTTACCTCTTAATAAAGCTATACACTTATTTGTCCTTCCTTGGAAGATCCCCTGGTCACCCCTGGTTCCTTACTAGCTAGCTAATGTCTATTGTTATTCAGATTGAAGCACACATGTCTAAAGCTTAAAAGCTAACACCCACACATAAAAGAAAGCATGTACTTTTGTATTTTGTGGTCTGGGCTAACTCAGTCAGAATACTTGCTTCTATGCATTCATTTTCCTGAAAAAAAAAAACCTTTTTTTTCTTAATAGCTGAATAATGTTCCATTGTGCAAAAGTACCAGTATCTCAGCACCAGTGGATGGTGATAGAAGCTGTTTTCAATTTCGGGAGTTATGCACAGAGTATCAATGAATGTGAATGAGCAAGTGCCACTGTAGTGTTATATATAAAGCTCTTTGGGTCTATAACTAAAAGCGTTCTAGCTGGAAATGACTGAATGAATGAGTTATGAATATAAATTATAGAAACATAGATAAAGATCTGTGAAGGTTCAAATATAGATGCTACTAAAGCCTAGTCTATAATCTCTAGGACTGAAAAGGATCTTGGGATCTAGCAGACCTAGGAGTGGGCAAGTATCCCAAGAGGCAGTTTCTACAGATACTGATGTGCAAGGCAGAGCCCCAACATCTGTGTCTCAGCAATGTTCCTCAGGCGAGCCTCTTGCTTAATCCTATTGATGAGATGAACTAGCAGACAATATTTAATAACATTAATTTAAGCCTAGGTTTCTTTCACTTATAATTTAATGTTTTACATTTGTAAGCCTAAAAAATTAGTCATTGCTGAATTACAGTACAACAGAAAACAAATAGAAAAGAGTTATAATTACTTTACACAAAAGCTCCTTTTTATATTTTTTATTTTTTAAATATTATTTTTTAAAAATGACAAATGCATATATGTATATAATGCATTTCAACCATTCTCACTCATTCCCACCTTCCTGATTCTCCTCCAACCCCTACAGGTGCCTCTCTCTACAAGTCCCTTTGCCATATTCATATCTTTGGGTTTTATCTTGTGACCCACAGAGTTTAACCAGAGTTGTCTGTGTGACCCTGGGCTTTAGACTGTACACAGAACACAGAAACCTAGCTGACTCTCTTGTTGAGTATACATGTGAAATCAATGACTGCCTCTCTCCCATAATCTACCAGTAGCCAGTAGTTCAGCAGAATGGGGTATGGTCCTGTTGAGTCTCTCTCTGACCCTTGTTGTGCTGATGAAGGGCCCAGTCTTGTGCAGGGAGCTGCAGATGTTGTGAGATGACCATGGTTGCAAGGGCTGTGTCATGCCCACAATAGAGCATTTCCAGCCGTTTTTCTCATCTTCTGACTCCTGTACTCTTTCCACCCCCCCTTCTACACTATCTAAGCTTTAGAGAGTTGGTATAGGTGTCCTGGTGAGGGTTTAAGCACTCAAGAGTCACATACTCTGGTCCCTTGAGCATCCATGAGTCTCTACATTCACCACAGTTCATTACACTGGGAATCTTTCCTGGGTAATGCCGGGTAAAGCATGTGTCCATGAGTATAAAGGCAAATATTTAGAAGACAGTTTGGTATCACAGTTCTTTAAACAATTCTTACCAGACCTAAGAATTTATACTTTCTTATGTGGCAATAACCCCACATAGGTAATTGATAAGAGGATAATCGTTATAAAAGCTAAGGCCATGTGATTCTCCCAGAAGCCCCACGATGAGAGGTCGATGCCCTGGATTATCAGGAATTCTTCTCCAGTGCATCTGTAATTCAACACACACAAAAAATAACGTCAAAGCTTAATCAGTACATTCACTGCTCCTTCCTTTTAAACACTCTGTTTCGGTACTTCATTTAAAACTTCATCTTTATGTTTAATTGGTAGTAATACTGATGCATTTAAATTTTTATTATATATTATATCAATTTAAACTACTTGAATCAGGTACCTTGGTTAATTTCAAAAACCAACCAAAGAGGCAAAGCTGTCACATCTATTTAAAAGCGTCAAGGAAATAGGCTTAGTAAACTTGGTCGAGTTTAAAGACTCACTCTAAGATCCAACTTTGTAGCCTTGAAGGTGTCATTCATTTCTAAATCTACATTGCTGCTCTCTCTTCAAAGGGCAAAGGCATGGATGAAGTACTTGTTTCTACCAAAGCAGAAAACCACAGCTTCCTAAGGACACACAGACACTCTAAGAGATCAAAGCACTGTGCAATTCTGCTGGCTCAGCACACGGTCATGCAAAAGAACGGATCATCAAATCCTAGACCAAGGACCAGAGGAGACTAAGGGTTTTTTACAGAAGTCAGTCCATTGCTGTCAGCTCCTGGACTAGGACTACATTGACAACAACAGATGCTCCGCTATGGAACATCCCCAGGAGCCCATGGCTACAGACAGAGCTTGGGTAGATATTCAAACATAGCAGAATGCAGGGTCCCAGACACAGAAAAGCAGCTACTGCTAAAAGTTCAGGATACACTACGATTACTGCCTCCGTGTCTCCACTCCTGTGTGTCTCTATCCTGTGTGTCTCCACCCCTGTGAGTCTCCATCCTGTGTGTCTCCATCTCTGTGTGTCTCTATCTCTGTGTGTCTCCATCTCTGTGTGTCTCCATCCCTGTGTGTCTCCATCTCTGTGTCTCTCCATCCCTGTGTGTCTCCATCTCTGTGTGTCTCTATTCTCTTGTATTTCTTAGGATTTAACAGTTCCCAAATCCACAGAAAGGGCAGTTTTTTTCTTCCTCTTCTGAGGACAATCCTTTTGTGAATATGAGGTCTGTGGATGGCTTTCTTTGGTTTCATTTTACCCATTCTATCCTTTCTGACATGAAACCAATAAGGAATTTATATTAAAAGGATGCCAGAGCATACCAGGAGAGAGGAGATGTGGAAAATAAGATATCCCCCATACTTGTATTTTTATCATTATTTCAAGCTTAAATTTGGCTTACTAATATTCCTTATTATTTTAACATCCATGAGAGATTTAATGTATCAGCATATTACTCTGTCATTTACATATCAAAATCAAAACAAAAAGGGCAATCTTAGAAACTGAAGATACTGTAACTTTAAAATAATATACTTTACTTTTATTTAAAAAAATCTATGTTTGTAATTTAGTCACATTACACAAAAAAGAAATATCCTCCTCAACATGCTGAAATTTGTGTGTGTTTTTATTTACAGGGCATATCCTCTGCTAGGACATTTTACACACACACACACACACACACACACACACACACACACAACCTTTTGTTTTCTTGAAGTTCTCTAGAGTGTGAGGCAAAGGAAAGACCCTGAATGCTGCCAGGCAAAGAGTTCAGTCCTTTTGGCCACTGCGGCACTGACATCCTTGGGCTCTGCTCACAGGTGCCATAGTCTACACATGTGAAACTGTATGCCCTTGTAAACTATCAGAGCAGCCCATGTCAAACTCAAATATTCTGAAACATGGAACCCAAATCCACAATCAAGACAGCAAAACCATTTTTAAAAAGCCTCGAAGAACCCTTTCTGCACATTATCTACACCATGGAGCAGCAGGATGGAAACAGCCGCCTGTGCATTGGTTACAATGACTCACTCTAGGGAACAGGCAGAAGACAGAGTTAATCCTGAAAGGATGGGTTCCCCTTTAAGGTCTGGAGCATTCTATGTCCCCATTGTGACACTAAACTCAAGCTTACATCACATAGTTGTGACATCTACTGACTTCTGCTGTGTTATTTTTTAGACAGAAGTTTTGTCCCAAGAATTCGTTGTACATCAAAGCCTATAAAACAAAGACGGACACAGAAAAATAGTTTAGTATTTCCATAAGTTTCCACAGAATCAACCATCTATAAATTCAAGTTCAATCTTGACTGCAATTTGCAAAAATATTTTTAAATAAATAACCCCACCAAGTTCAGTCTGCCCAATAAAGCAGTCTCCTCCTCCACACTTGGGAGACTTAGGATTGAAATGATGAAGTTTCCCAACTACTAAGAGGTAGACTCTCCTAGATCACCTCAGGCACCTCTTCCTCTGCCTAGACCATAACCCAGTAAACACTGTAGTTAAAATAATACTATTGCTTTATAGAAACAATATATTCTTGCTTATTTTCATCAAAACCAGTTGTGATTATGGGAGGAAGAAATTCTACTAAGACACACTTTACTGGAGAGAAAACTTGGCAAAACCAGTAAAACTCTGGGTATCACATTGCTTCTTTCTTTTATTTTCCTGATATAGACTATATATCTTAATCCCTGATCCTTTCCTTATTTTCTTATTGGGCAGAATCACAATTGTTTGCTTTTTATCGTATCCTCTACCTTTCCCCTTTGCTCTGAGGTTTTTCTCACCATTTGTTTCCCTCAAATAAAATGTGACTATGAAAAATCCCAGATGACTCACTTAAAACCAATAGGATAGTTCCCATCTTCTGCCCCTAGAAGGAAAATCCTTGGCAATGACTGACTAAAGATTACAGCTGGGGAAAGGACTTGGTTGGGAATCATTTCAGTTGCTACAGTTGGAGAACCCAAATACAATGACAGACAGGACAACTTACTGTAAACCCATAATGCGGAATGCTCAAGTACTGAATCCATGAGAGCCCAGGTATGAAGCTTCCAGAATATAGTGACTGACCTGAGAAAACCTGTGAAGAACAAATCTGTGAGTTAGAACCAGTCCAGTGACTAAGAATTCCAGACAAGGTCCTCCCTCTTCAAGACCCCTTCATCCTTCTGACTGTTTCTTCTTACATCAGCTCTTCAAAAAGTTCTTCAGAAAACTCTAAACAGTTAACTCTTCATGTTACAAAGACAGAGTTCTTTGTGGTTGGTCAAAGAATGCCCCCCTGCTCTCTGGATGTCAAGCCCTACAATATTATGTTATCTTTAAAATGGCACACAACCTATAAACATTCTTTATACTTTAAATACACTTACTGTACATATTTAAAATCCTCTTAAGATTCCTCATAATGTCTAATTTGTGTAGTTTATACAGCATAATTCAGGGGATGGCAATATTCATAGCAGAAGAGCCATTTGTTTCCTGTATTTTCAGTATGTGGTGGATTTAATCTTTTACACTATGACAGGCCAATTGTAGTGACTGCTCTAGTAAAACTGCTACCTCCTAGGGACTCAAGCTAGAAGAGCTCTGTCTTGGCTCATTTTATGTCACTCAAGCTAGATTCACTGGAGAATAGCGGACCTCAATTAAGAAAATGTCTCTAGGGAGCACAGTCCTACCTCAACTTCATTCAAGCCCATGGGAGGTCTATCCCTTTCTGAATGGAAATTGAAGAGGAGGGGATGAGGAAGGGGTAAATAAGACTCAGGTGGAGAAGTAACAGGAGGATAGGAGGGAAGGAAAACATTGGTTGGTATGTAAAATAAATAAAAAATGTTAATTAAATAAAATGAAATTAAAAAAGGACATGTCACTATAAGATCATCCGTAGGTATGTCGTTTTAGAAGATAGCAGACTGAGTGAGGAATTAGAACAAGCCAGTAAGCAGCACCCCTCCATGGACTCTGCATCAACTCCTGCCTCCAGGATACTGCAGTTTGAGTTCCTATTCTTATTTCCTTCCGTGATGAACAGTAATATTGAAGTGTAAGCCAAAATAACAATTTCCTCCCCATTTGCCTTTTGGTCATGGTGTTTCATCTCAGCAATAGAAACCTAACGTGGATAAGCACTGATCATCATATACCCACGTCTACTTCCAAGGATCAGTAAGTCTGTTACGTATAAGAGTTTTTGACTCGCTAGTCATGACTTTAGGAGTTTGGATTCAATTAAAATAACCACCTTAAAACAACTGCAAGCCTAGAACTGATAATCCACACCATGTGGTAAAGAGCAGCAGAAACAGTGCTCAATCCCCCATTTAAAAACACAAACCACAGAATCACACAGAGATGGCAGAAAGCACTGATGGGGATAAACAAGGAACAGCTCTGAAGTTCACATAAAATTTATTCTGTCTGCTCTTAAGCACACTAGAATATACAAAACAATTATGGTATGTGCATGCATTCAGACTGCATCTGACCAAATGCCTGTACAGAAAATATATTTGGCTTCATCACTGGTTTTTAAAGTCCCATACAGAAACGTGATACAATAACCAGCTGTATTAGTTCCTTCCCTGTGGCTCTGATGAAGTACCATGACAAGGAGAAAAGTTGGAAACTTTCTAAGTAAAAATTGCTGATATAATGGGGAGGAGTAAGAGATACAATCTCATTCATCAAAAAGTAAAAGAAAAAAAAGAGGGGGCATGGGGATCCTGGAATAAATCTAACCAAATGAAATTTTTGTATAATAAAAATTTCAAGACACTGGAAAAAGGAAATTAAAGATACTAGAAGATAGACAGACAGCCCATCTTTATTGATTGGGAGGATAAAAATTGTAAAAATATACATCAACCAAAGGAAATCAACATGTTCATTGCAATCCTCACTAAAATTCCAGTACAATTCTGAGAAATTGAAAAACAATAATAAATTTCACATGGAAGTAAAAAAGACCCAGGTTAGAAGAACAATTCTGAACAAAAACAATAAAACTGTCACAGGTATCACCACCCATTGGTGAAAGAATCCATCATTTTGTTTCGTGAGGAATAATTCATCTTCTGTTGATAAGAGGCTTTCGGTGGGCCTGTCTACCCATCTGGGAATAAAAGCAAGAGACTTCTGAAAACTTTACCACCCTAAGTGCCCCTCTCTCATAAAGAGGACAACATGTTGTTTTTTCTGTTAGGACCATGGTCCCTTTAAAAGGGAAAGGATACTTGAGCCTGGGGATGTGCTGGGGGATGTCCTTCTGTACACTGTGAATGCTGCACTCATTGTTAATAATAGAGTTGATTGGCATGTAGGCACGCAGGAAGTGTGGGTGGGACAATTAAACTAAGGAGAGAAGAGAGTTGTGGGATCAGGCAGATGCCAGCCATCCAACAAGGAAGTAAATCATGTAAAAAATGAGGTAACAGGCCACCAACCACATGGCTACACATTGATAAGAATTATGGGTTCATTTAAGTGTAAGAACTAGCCAGTAATAAACCTGAGCTACTTGCCAAGCATTTATAGTTATTACAAAACTCTGAGTTATTATTTGGGAATTAGTGAGTGGAAGAGAACCATCTCGAAAAAAGCAACTAAAAAAGAAAGAAAAGAAAAGAAAAAAACTAAAAAATGAACAAAGGAAAGAACAAAAAGAAAAAAAGTAATTGATCTTGCCAGGAGCAAATGTGTCTCACTGTCAAGTCTAAGTTCTTACAACATTTTAAATGCTATATTATGTAGGTCTTTTAAAGGTTTGATGATTACCTATCTGAAATATATCTTTGTATACCTAGCTTTGGAGCCTGTCCTGGAATTCATTCTATAGACCAGACTGACTTCAAATTCATAGAGATCTGCCTGCCTCTGCCTCCTGAGAACACCGATTACATATAAAAGGATGATGGACATCAAAAATCCTTATGGATTTTCTTTTGATGTGTCAAGACAATTATTTGGGCAAGAAACTGCTCTTGCCTGAACTGCTTGACAGCATGTTGTATAAACTGGACATGGAAGGATCTACAGAAAAGTGACTGCTAAACTTTTCCTAAGACAGACTCCTCATGCTGAGCAATTACATCGGTCACTGTTGTAGAATCTGTTTGAAGATGAATTACATTTATTTATGCTGTGGAACATTTGTTTAATGAAGCAAGGATGTGTTGCATTTTTTGTATTTGTTTATCTCTGTCAAGTTGTGATACTTTGCCTTTCTAAAATACCTGGTTGGTCTAATAAAGAGCTAAACAGCCAATAACTTGTCAGAAAAGGATAGGAGGGGATGGCAGGCAGAGAGAATAACTGGAAGGAGAAATCTGAGAGCATGGATGAATAAGAAAAGGAGAAGAAGAGGATGCTAACGGCCAGCTACGCAGTCCCATACCAGCCATGCAGGAAGAACGAAAGTAAGAACTACAGAAGAAAGAAAAGGGAAAGGCCCAGAGGCAAAAGGTAGAGTAGATAATTTAAAGAAATGATGGGTAGAGAAAAATCGAGTTAAGGCTGGGCATTTATAAGTAATAATAAGATCCAGTGTAATTATTTAGACCATGGGTACAAGCCCAGACTACTATATCCAGCAAAGCTTTCAATAACCAAAGATGGAGAAAACAAGATATTCCATAACATAACCAGATTTAAGCAATACCTATTCACAAATCCAGACTTATAGAGAGTACTAGAAGGAAACTTCCAGCCCAAGGAAATTAATTGCACCCATGGAAACACAGGCAACAGATAACTTCACACCTCACACCAGCAAACCCTAAAGAAGGGAAACACAAACACTACCACTGGAAAATAAGAGGAAATAATAATCACTGGTCATTAATATCTTTTAATATAAATGGATTCAATTCACCTATAAATAGACACAGGTTAACAGGGTAAACACAAATGCAGGATTGATCCTTATGCTGCATACAAAAAATACACCTAAACCTCAAAGACAGATATTACCCCAGAGTAAAGGGTTGGGAAAAAAATTTTCAATCAAATGGGCCTATGAAATAAGTGGGTGTAGCTATCCTAATATCTAACAAAATAGACTTCAAACTAAAATAAATCAAAAGATATGGAGAAAGACATTTCATACTCATCACAGGAAAAATTTATCAAGATGAAGTCTCAATTTTGAACATCCAGGACCCAAATACAAGAACATAGACATATGTAAAAGAAACACTACTAAAGTTTAAATCTTATGTCAAACCCCACACACTGATAGTAGGAGGCTTCAACACCCAACTCTCAGCAATGGACGGGTATGCTAGACAGAAACTTAACAGAAATAAGAGGACTAACAGCTGTCAGGACTCATTAGTAGAGACCTATAGGACATTTCATCCAAACACAAAAGAATATATCTTCTTCCTATCACCTCATGGAACATTCTCTAAAACTACCAAATACTCAGTAACAAAACAAGCCTCAGCAGATACAAAACAATTGAAATGACCCCATGTATCTTATTGGATCTCTGTGGCTTAAAGTTAGAACTAATAAACAACACTAATTGCAGAAAGTCTATAGACTCATGGAAATTGAACAATGCTCAACTGAATTACCCTTGAGTCAAGGAAGAAATAAAGAAAAAATTAAAAACTTCCTAGACTCAACAAAAATGAATGCACAACATACCCAGCCTATGGGATACTATGAAAGCAGTGCTAAGTAAAAGTTGATAGCACTAAGTGCCTATATAAAGAAAACAGGGAAATTTCATTATAGTGACTTAACAGCTGAAAGGTTTCAAAACAAAAATAAGCAGACTTACCCAGGAGAAATAGACAATAAGAAATAGTCAAATTGATGGCGGAAGTCAATAAAATATAAACAAAGAAAACAATTCAAAGAATCAATGAAATGAAGAGTTCATCCTTTGAGAAAATCATCATGACAGACAGATCTTTATCCACACTAACCAAAAGGCAGAGAATATCAAATTAATAAAATCAAGAAAAAAAGAGAGACATAAAAACAGACTTTGTGGAATTCCAAAGAATCATTAGGTCATACTTCAAAACTTGTATTCCACAAAACTGAAAAATACAAAATAAATGGGCAATTTTCTGGCTAGGTGCCACATACCAAAATTAAATAAAGACCAGATAAACAATAGAAGTAGATATATAACCCCTAAGGAAATAGAAGCAGTCATCAAAAGTTTCCCCACCAAAAAATTTAGGGCCAAGTTGTTTCAGCACAGAATTCTACCAAAACTTCAATGAAGAGCTAATACCTATATTCCTCAAGTTGTTTCACATAATAGAAACATAAGTAATATTGCCAAACTTTTTTTATAAGACAACAGTTACCCTGATACCAAAACCACACAAAGACTCATCTAAGAAAGAGAATTAAAGATCAAACTCATTCATGAACATTGATGCAAAAATACTCAACAAAATACTAACCAACCGAATCCAAGAACACATCAAAAAAAAATCATCCACCATGATCATGGTGGCTTCATCCTAGAGATGCAGGGATGGTTCAACATATGAAAATCTGTCAATGTAATCCACCATATAAATAAACAAAAAGAAAAAACAAATGGTCATCTCTCTAAATGCTGAAAAAGCCTTTGACAAAATCCAACACCCCTTTATGATAAATGTTTTGCAGAGATCATTAATACAAAGAACATGCCTAAATGCAATATACAGCAAACCGATAGCCAACATCAAATTAAATGGAGAGAAACTCAAAGTAATTCCACTAAAATCAGGAACAAGACAAGGTTGTCAACTATCTCTATATCTATTCAATATAATACTCAAAGTTCTCGCTAAAGCAATAGGACAACAAAAGGAGATCAAGGGGATACAAATAGGAAAAGAAAAAATCAAACATTCTCTACTTGTAGATGATATAATAGTATATATAATTGTCTCCAAAATTCTACTGCAGAAGTCCTGAAGCTGATAAATACCTTCAGTAATGTGTCAGGACACAAGATCAAATAAATAATCAATAGTTTTTCTATATGCAAATGATAAAAGAGCTGAGAAAGAAATTAGAGAAATATCACCATTCACATTAACCACAAAAAACAATAAATCTTGGGGTAACATTAACAAAACCAGTGAAAGATCTGCATGACAAGAACTTTAAGTCCTTGAAGGAAGAGATTGAAGAAGACATCAGAAAATGGCAAAATCTCCCATGCTCTTAGATAAATAGGGTCAACATAATAAAAGTGGCAATCCTATCAAAAGGAATTTACAGACTCAGTACAATCCCCATCAAAACCCCAACATAATTCTTCACAGATCTCGAAAGAACAATATTCAACTTCATATGGAAAAACAAAATCCCAGGATAGCCAAACAATCCTGTACAATAGAGGAATTTCTGGAGGTATCACAATCCCTGACTTCAAGGTCTAATATAGATCTATAGTAATGAAAACAACCTGGAATTGGCATAAAAACAGAGAGTGGGACCAATGGAATAGAATTGAAGACCATGATATTAATCCTCACCCTTTGATCACCTGCTATTTGACAAAGAAGCTAACATTATTCAATGAAAAAAAAGAGTATTTTCAACAAATGGTGCTGGCATAACTGGATGTCAACACATAGAAGAATGCAAATAGATTCATATCTATTTCCATGCACAAAACTCAGTTCCAAATGGGTCAAAGACCTCAACATAGATCCACCACACTGAACCTTACTGAAGAGAAAGTGGGAAATAGACTTGAATCCACGAGCAGAGGAGACCACTTTCTAAATGAAGCCCCAGTAGCACCGTCACTGAAAGCAACAATTAATAAATGAGACATCCTAAATCCGAGAAGCTTCTGTAAGGCAAATGACACAGTCACCAAAACAAAATGGCAGCCTACAAGGTGGGAAAAGGTCTTCACTCACCCCACATCAGATAGAGGACTGATCTCCAAAATATATATATATAAAAACACAAGAAACTAGACATATAAATACCAAACAATCCAATACAAAAATGGGGTATAGATCTAAATAGAAAATTCTCAATAGAAAAATTGCAAATGGCCAAAAGACACTTAAGAAATTGCTCAGTATCCTTAGCCATCAGGGAAATACAAATCAAAATGACTCTGAGATATTATCTTACACCAGTCAGAATGACTGACATCAAAAACACTGATGATAGCTTATGCTGGAGAGGATGAGAAGTGGAAGACTCCTATATTGCTGGTGAGAGTACAAACTTGTACAGTCACTTTAGAAATCATTACAACTGTTTCAAAGAAAATCGGGAATTACTCTACCTCAAGACCCTTCAATGCCACTCTTGGGCACATACCCAAAGACATTTGCTCAACCTTACTCATATCAGTATTATTTGTAATAGCCAGAACCTGGAAACAACCTAACTGTCTCTCAACTGGAGAATGGATGAAGAAGATGTGACATATTTACACAATGGAGTACTACTCAGCAGTTAAAAAAAATGACATCCTGAACTTTGCATGCAAATGAATGGAACTATTAAAAAAATCCTGAGTAAGGTAACTGAGACCTCAAAAGACAAACACAGTATGTACTCACTCACAAGTGGATATTATATATAAAGTAAAGGATATCCAGCATATAGTTCAAAATCCCAAGAGAAGCTAAGTACCAGGGAGAATCCTAAGAGTGACATATGTGGATCCCCCTGGGAAGGGGAAATAGACAAGACCTCAGAAAATTGGGCAGGGGAGAAGAGAGCGCAGAGTGGGATGGGAGAAGGAAGGAGGAGGATAAATTAGGGAATGGGATGGTTGAGTTGAAAGAAGGACAGAGCGGGAGAGCCAGGAAAGAGATATCTTTATTGAGGGAGTCATCATGGGCTTAGTATCATGTGGTACTAGGGAAATTCCCAGGAATCCATGACCCCAGCTAAGACTCCAAGCAATAGTGGAGAAGGTACCTGAACTGACCTTCCCCTGTAATCAGAGTGATTACTACCTCATTGTTATTCTAGAACCTTCATCCAGCAACTGATGGAAGCAGATACAGAGATCCATAGCTAAGCACTGGACTGAGCTTCTGAAGACCAGTTGAAGAGAGGGAGGAGCAATAATATGAGCAAAGGAGTCAAGACCATGACAGAGATACCCACAGAAACAGCTGACCTGAGCTAGTGGGAGTTCACTGACTCTGGACTGATAGTGGGGAACCTGCATAGGTCCAAATGAGGCCCTCTGAATGTGGATGACAGCTGTGTGGCTTGAAAAAAATCTGTGGAGCCACTGGAGGTAGGACCAGCGTTTATCTCTAGTGCTTGACCTGGCTTAGTGGAGCCCATTCTTTTTGGAGGGATACCTTGTACTGCCTAAATATAGGGAGAATGGTCTTGGTCCTACCTCAAAGTGATGTGTCAGACTTTGTGGACTCCGCATTGGAACCTTTACCCTCTCTGAGGAGTGGATGGGGGAAGATGGGAGAAGATGGGGGAAGCAAGAGAACAGAAAAAGTGTGGACTGGGATAGGGAAGTAAAATGAAAAAGATCATTTTTAAAAAAGTAAATTAAAAATTTTATGAAAGAAAAACACAATTCACACTCACCAGCATGAACACAAAGTAGATGGTCACAAATAGAGTTGGTAGAGCCACTGCATTCTCCCCTGCTTTGAAACACAGTGGCAGTGAGCTGGCCGAGTAAGCCAAGTTCATGACGGTAAATATCATAGTGAAAAAACCCTTCACATCCGTGTTTACTCCTTAGAAAGAAAAAAGTAGGGTCAGTTAATCACCTAAGTCAGAGATTGCACATATTTCAAACAATGCTTTAATAAGCAATGAGACTGACAACAGTTTCTCGGCCACCCACTTCTCTGCATCTCTAACTGTGTCCTGATCATGTGGATGCTGGGAACAAAATTTTGGGACTTTGCATGAGCAGCATGTGCTCTTAACCAATGAGCCTCTCTGCAACTCCATCATATGGCTTTATTTTTACACCTGACACAAAGTATATATTAGCTGTTCTCCTCTCTACACAATTATGAGCAATTTACAGGATCCTGACAAGGAGAGCTACAGGCAATAAAACTGGCCAAAATTGTATCACATCCTCTTACTGGGGAATCAGCAATGCAACACGTTCATGTTCACATTCCCCTGTGTTTATTATAGCACACTAGTAATGAAACTGGGATCAGGGCTAGGGTCATATGGAAAGAGAGAACCTCACTAAGAAAATGTTTCCTTTAGATTGGCCTGTAGGCAAGCCTGTGGGGACATTTTCTTGATGAAAAATTTAATTGTGAGGTCTTAGACAACTGTGGATGATGCCATCCCTGGGCAGATGGTCCTGGGTTCTATAAAAAGGCAGGCTGGGGAAGCCATTAGGAGCCTGTAAGCAGCATCCTCCACAGACTCTGCTTCACTCCCTGCCCCCAGGTTCCTGCCCTGAGTTGCCGCCCTGACTTCCCTTTTTAAAGGACATTGAACTGTAAGATGAAACAAACCCTTTCCTCCACAAGTTGATTCTGGTCATGGTGTTTGTCACAGTGATAGAAACCTATCCAAGGCAAGGGTTAAACAACCGTGCAGTGATTTTAATATTGAGAGGATGGGAGGGTGCCTTCAACTTTAGTTTTCCTAGAAAATCACCATATAACTGCTTTGGAGGAAGGCAATGTGTTCCAAAACTGATTTGTAATCTTTATGGTGCTAATGTTATAAGACATACATAGTCCTGTGTTTTATTATAGTGACAAGGACACAGTTAGAGTCTGGAGGAGCCAAGTTCAATGCCTAATTGTTTTCAAAGTGAATATTATGATTATCAATGTGGGTATGGTACACATGTGTGTATGGGTATGCATGTGCCATGATGTGCATATGCCATGGTATGCATGTGGAGTTCAAGGACAATTTTCTGGAGTGATTCTCTTTTCCATTGTGATTCTGAGGATCAAATTCAGGTTGTCTGGCTTACAGAACAAGTAATTTGTCCATGGCCTAAATGTCTGGCTCTGAATGGTACATCTGTTACAAAACAAAGTCTAAGCTTTATCAGTGCTTCTCTCTCTCCCTCTCTCTCTTTCTCTCTCTCTCTCTCTCTCTCTCTCTCTCTCTCTCTCTCTCTCTCTCTGTGTGTGTGTGTGTGTGTGTGTGTGTGTGAAATGTATGTCAACTCTCAGCACTTAGTCTAGGATAAAGTTTAAACATAATACACAAATGAATCGGTACACATATTCCAAATAACATTTATATTATTTAATTTCAAAAAACCTCAAATTCAGTATCCTCTTTATTTGTAAGATTATGTAGCATAATACACTGTGTGCATTTAAGTTCTTTTACACACACACACACACACACACACATATATATATATGAGATATTATCCTCATTTCTATATTTTATATGCATATACAGAGACATATACAGAAACACAGAGAAAATATTCAGCTGGACTAAGAAGATGGCCTACTGATTGAAAGCATGGGCTATTATTGCAGAGGCCCTAGATTCTGTTTCCAGCATCTACACAGTGGCTCCCATTCTGTAACTACAGTTCCAGGGGATCTGATGTCCTCTTCTGGCCTCCCAGGCACTGCACTACATCCACTTAGGGCACACACAGGACAGATACACAGACAGACACACACACAATCAGGCAAATACACAAATAAAGAAAAATAAATATTTTATAATATGCATGGATAGATATCCAAAATTGATCTTGCTCCATTAGCACTGTCTCAAATGTGCACGCTATTTCCACAGTCATTATAGTGCACAGAATCTCTAGTGAAAGCACAGCTTCATAAACATCTTTTTAGACTTTTCTCCCCCTGAACTCCTGTGTCACTGGCACACAGTGGAGACGTGCTTCTCTACCTACACTTCTCTACTTTAGACTTTCTACAGCTGTACAAACCAAAACACACTGCCCCAAGAGTAAAGATGCATTTTCTTGTTTTGCAACTTACCTACTATGCTGAATACTATAACAGTAAATATAATACTTGGCAATAACCTCCTGGGCACCAGCTCACCCAGCAATTTCCCAAGGAAATACGATGACACTCTGTAGTATCCACTGGTGTGCTCATGTCTACAGAGACAAAGATCACATTATACGTCCTTAGATTAGTCCAGAAGGCACAGAGGAGATGCTGGCTACACTGACTTCTGCTACCACAGGCAGCCTAACAGGACACTGTCCTCCATATTCCATGCTGACTCCCATACATGTCCCCATCTTAGGGACCAGTCACTCTAGGTCAACAGCCTTATGACATTGTCACTATTATTCTCCCCACCAGAGAACTCTCCCCTCTTTTGTCCACTCTGGGCACACAACAGCCCCTTCAGGAAAACAGAACAATGTGCCCACTCTCTCCAGAGTTTCTGCCCCTCTGAAGCTGGCTCCCTGAGGAGCAGCTCATTCGTACCTCACCTCAGACCATGGTCATGGAGACTTCTCTCCTTCCAGTTCTTATGAGGAAGGTGACACTGTCACTCTGAGGTCACAGTGCAGCTTCAGGATACTACATCCTTCTCTTCTGCTACCCTCGTGTTAGGACAGTTGTATTCCTTTGATAATCTCTCTTTACAACACGAATCGCTACCAGATGCCAAACGTAACCCTTCCCCTTTCTGGTTCTTCCAAATCCCCAAGCTTTTACCCTTCAGGTGTCTTTAGCATATTTCTGATTGTTTTGAGACATGCTAACCATGCAGACCTGCATTAAATTCTATATGTACCCAACAATGAGCAACTTCCTATCTCTACCCAGCCCCAAATGCTGGGATTACAGACATACAGCCATGCTCGGGGTTTTATGGTACAGTGACTCTAACACAGGATTCCATGCACACAAAGTCAGCGCTCTACCAACTGAGCAAGGCTCTCATCTCCTCTCTGATGACTCCTCTCCATGGCATGCACTTGAGATTACATCTATCTTGGCCATCTTTGAGAGCAGGGAATCCTAAGCACAGACCACCAGGAAAAGGTTCTTCCATGCTTGAAAACACGGGACACAAACAGCTCTTTCCTATGCAGCTCCTGTCTGGCTCTCTCCAGCCCTGCACCGTGAGGAGGACCCTGCTTCTCGTGCAGCTGTGTCTCTCCATCTTCAGTGTGCAGCTGTGTCTCTCCATCTTCAGTGTGCAGCTGTGTCTCTCCATCTCCAATGTGCAGCTGTGTC